GCCAGGCCCTCCAAGGGCGCAGCAGCTCCGCCTGGGCACTCTCTCCTGCGCAGGACCTCTGCCTTTCCCGTGAGGTCAGGGGGGGCTCCTGAAACTCTGCAGCTGCTTCCTGGTGACGCCAGAGCAGAATCCAGGCCCTGCGCTGGGGGTTGTGCTCTGGGGGGGGGGGGGGGGCTGGGAGAAACAGATGAAGTGTTGAGTGCCTGATGGCTTCCATGGGGAGCCCCCTGCTCCCCCTTGCCCCTTCCCCGGTTTTGGCAGCCTCTGCCGCCCACCCCCCACACACGCTCCCTGATCGGACCCGGGGAGGGGGGGGGAGGCCCTGCCAGAATGAGAACTGGCTGGGGAGGGGGTGGGGAGGTTAGGGGGCTTCTTGGGGCCACGCTCAGGCCAGCCCCTGGCATTGGGCCCCTGCCAACATCCGGGCAATGCCCCCGTTTGCGGGGAGCCCAGCTGAAGGCGGGTTGCCTTTGGCACCGAGGGCGGCCATGGGCCTGGGGGGCAAAGGGGTCACACCCGGCCCAAGTCCTTGCTCTTCCCACGGCCACCCACCTCCCCTCTGTTGCTGGAAAAGGTGCAGAGAAGAGCAACTAAGATGGCTGAACGTTGGAAGGAGAACGGCTGCAGGATCCGGGTGTGGCCAGTCTAGAGAAAGCGGGGGGGGGCATGGCAGCAGCCTCCCAGTATTTGAGGGGCTGGGGGTCCAAAACACCAGGAAGCAGCGCCCCAACACTGGAGGCTTCTAAGGAGAAAACGGTCTGACATGGTACGGGGTCTCCTGCTTGGGGCAGGGGGTAGGGCCAGAAGACCTCTGGGGGTCCCTTCCAGCTCCCTTCTGAGGGCTTGGGCCTCAGGTCCTGCCTGGGCTCCCTCTGGGCTGACGACCGGAGGCCGAGCAGCATCCACTGGGGCTGAGCCTGCAGAAGATGCTGCCGGCTGGCTGGGACTCCTCCTCCCCCTCCTCCGGCGTTGGTTCATCGGCCCCCTCCTCCACTCTGCTCGCCTGCCCACTCCCTGCAGAAGGCAAACGCCAGCCGAGAGGGGCCTGGGGCACCTGAGAGGCGAGCATTAGGGGAGCCTGATCGGTCAGCCACACTCCCCTCCAGCCTCACCTGGCAGGTCCAGGGGTGCGGGGCCAGCGGACTCCCCAGGGACCCCTCGGGCTGGCCCTGAGGGCTCAGGCCGTGCCAAACGGCTCCATGGCGGGCGTCGTCTTTGCTCCCGGCTGCCTGAAGGCTGGCACCCAGGGCGCCCCCTGCTGGGCGGGGCCAACAGCGCCCCTCCCTGCCTGCCTCTTCCCGGAGCTGCTGGGCTCCGGGGCTCCTTGACAGTTACAATAACAAGGCCGGCCGGGCTCCCTTTCCCAGCAAGCGGTCGCTTGCGGCTGCTCCGCTGAAAGATGTATAGCGCTAATTAGAAACGCATAACATCCGGCCACATGGCGGCCTCCTTCTCCCAGCCGATCCGTTTCCTGAGACCCGACAACTTTGACGACAGTTGGTTTATGTTTTCCACGACTATTTTGTTCTCTGGGAAACCAGAAGCCTCTCGGAGGCGCAGGGCGGCCCAGGTAGCTTGGCAGAGCTGAGGCTGGCACCCAGCCTGGACGCTGGGCCTGGCCGGAAGTCCCAGGCCCTGGCTTGGAAAGGGCTGCCCCTGGTGCTGGGGGCCGGAAGGAAGCCCCCCCCCCCTCAGCTGCTCTGGCCCCGCAACCCTTGCCCGGCCGGGGCAGCTTTGGGAACCTGGCAGGGGCCGGCCGCTGGTCCCAGGCCCCCCTTCCCCTTCCGGGTCATCCTCTGGCCACCCTGCTGACCCTGGAAGCAGCTCCTGGTCTTCCTGAGGCAGGAGGTGCCCCCAGAGGGCAGGGGGTCAGCGGAGGAAGAGTTGGGGAGGAGAGCGGGGGTCTCTTCCCACCCCACCCCCCCGGCCATCGTAGGCCCCCTCCCCCGCCCCCGAGGTCCCTGGGAGAAGTTGGGGCGGATTGCAGCCGAGCCCCCTGGGAGCGTGGCCCCTCCCCTCAAGACCAAAGGCTGCCAAACAGGCCGGGGGGGGGATGCTCCGGGCGGGAAGCCTTCCTGGTCATTAAATTCCAATGGGGATAATGCCCTTAAGGGCTGAGAAGGAGCCCCCCCCCCATAGCCCCTGGGGTGGCCGAGGCTGGGCTGGCAGGGCGGGTCAAATGGTTCCCCTTTCCATTTCCAACCCTGAGGGCT